CTGCATTTTTCAGCAGTGAAAACGGGCATTCCAGATTATGCGTATCTTGATTGAAATGCAGTAGCATGTGAGTAGTTTTATACACAATTCACAGATATTTCATTCATAAATGAGTACTATCAAAGCAACAACCTGAGAGATGATTATAATAGTGCTTGAAATCTCACAGGCTAAAATGAGTCATGCTTAGGTGTAATACATGCAAATTCAATATTTAAAACTCAAACTGACTTTCACCCACACTATTTGATATTGAATTTGTTCCGGCTTATTTCCGGATTACTTTATTTAAATATATATATATAAATGTAATTCATATGTATAGTGCAATGAATATACTATGATGAATGTTCTTTCGAGGGCCTTTAAAGAACCTTTGATTATTCTTACAAAAAACATTTTTAAAAAAAGTTCCTGCTTATTAATATAATTTGGAGGAAAAAAAAAACTGACTGCCAAATCTAATTCATTCACCAACATGCAATAAATAAATAATATCAGTAAATCTCTCAAAATATCAGATATGTTGAGCTTTTTTTTAAATGACAAAACAAGGTTAGTTCAGGTTTTAAAATGTCACATGGTGTGACTCCACAAGAAATTAGTGAATTAATTCATTATTAATAATTATTTTATTGTTTTTACTACACACAGAATACATATATTTTTTTATATTTTTTATACAAGTACTTTCAACATCTATTTGGTCTCAGACCCTTCATAGTTCTTGTATTCTGGATGAAGCACAGCAAAATGGAACAGAATGCAGACTATTCACAATGGGCATGTTTAAATAAAAAAGTACCTTTTAAAATGATACACTCATGGAGACCCAACACAATGGCCAACAACAAAAATGTTGTCATCATTGGTCAAAGTGTGCAAACTGAGAACATGCAGCCCTTTGACAGAGATAAAAAGCATGCTTAAGTTGCTTTTAATTTATTCCCTTTAATGTACTACCATTACAGCCATTAGTTTAAAAACTCCAAAACTAGTTAACGTCAGGAATCATTTAGTCAGTTACTGAATGATTAATTGACCATCCCAAGTAGATGGTGTCTAAAGTTTTCACTTAGTACTTGCCCATGTATTTATATTGCAATTACAAACATGTATTGTAAAAGTGTAACTAAATTAAGCATTAGCGTTATTTCTGGCAGGTCACGGGAGTCAAGTTTGCATCAGCTGATTCTCAGCTGATCACATATACCTATAGGAATCGCGGCATTCCTATATAAGCTCTATTCAGTATTATTCAGCAGTTTTTCAGCTTGCTCCGGAGCAAATTACCCTCCTCCATCCCCAGCTCCTCCTTTCGCCACAGTCAGGACTTGGCTTTCTGATATTCCTTGCTAATCAGACTCCTTTATCTTGAATAAAGTGTTACACTTAAATATCATTAAGTACATTAATGATATGTGCCCTGTTCTGTTCTGTTAACCCTAGGGGGGTTATTATTGCTGCTCTCCCTGCTCATTCATGACAGGCTGCATGGATGGGCAGGGAAGTTTTTGCCCTGAACAGAACCATACCGCCAAACCAAACTTTATGCTAAGTATCTATCATTTTGACGATAGTGGTCCTGACAGAAGTGCTTTAAACAAAATACAGAAAGAAGGAAAGCGAGAGAAAGATTGGTCTCCTCAGAGCAAACATTTTACACATAAAACATTTATCACTATTTCCCTGTGACAACTCTGATTACAGTTTGAGCTTTCCAAAAGTTGACACATTTTTAGTCAAAATGATGATCCTTTATGTGGCATAGCTTTCAAGGTGTTTTAAAGATAATGTGTGGATCTCAGAGACGGGAGGATGAAATGAGTGAAAATGGGGTATCATCTGTAATTTGTGGTAAAGGCAGCATCTCATTGCATACATTAAAGAGGATAATACTCTTGGATGAATATGATTATTCTTTACTCTAATAATTGCGTAGAGATTCACAGCTTTAGGAAAGAAATTTCAAGGTAAATTGCAAAAGAAGAGATTACTACAAATCCTGCCAACTTATAAAAGCTCTGAAATAAGCCTAAGAGAAGAGATTTTCCTTAATTTGACTAAGCAAACACTTCTCAAACTTCTGGCCAAACGCTTATCTATTTCTGCAGTGATGTGGTAATAAAGACAAACAGAGAGAAGAGATTTGCTCATACTAAAATCAAATTGTACGCTGAGATAATCTCCAAACATTGAAAAACAAAGACAGAAACAGTCAAATTTATAACACTTTCTGCACTGCAAATATACAATTTTGTTCCAAATGTACCATTTTGAATAAAAAAAAGTTATATATATTATTTTAAATATGCAAAAGTATGGTATGATTATATGTTACATCATGAAATCAAAATTATTTTAGTTTTCTCAATTCTGGTATATACTGTATATTTAAAAAAAAAAATTAACTATATATTGGAGTACTACTATTTTAGTTTTTCTAATTCAAAATTTAACGTTTAATTCAATGTGTTAATTGCTGATTCTTTGCAACTGTTTGTGAAATTTACTAGCAATTTATTAGTTTTTTGGGGATATATATATATATATACACATACATATACATACACACACACACACACACACACACAGCAAAAGTGTTGACCCTTTATCACACCTGTAAGCCGTTCCAATTATGTTCAAAGTAGGGCTGCACAATTAATCAAATTTCTAATCGCAATTACAATTATGGATGGCACAATTACGTAATTGTTCAAAGCGGCAATTAATTGTTCAATGTCCACTTATGTTTTTCTGTGTGCTTAAGATGCATTTTTTTTCTTTCTACATGTTATCTTAAGGTTTTTTTTCAATGTTGTAATTTTAGTTTTAGTATAACATTATAATATCATTCATATTTTATTTTTTTTATAGTTTAAAGAAACCAATCCTATGTATAGTTGACATTTGAGGCTTAATGCTATTGAAAAGCACTAAAAGTTTTTCAGTTAGAGTGTTTTCAGCTTGTTTATTTTCATATAAAAATATGGCATGCAGTTGCATCAAACAATGGTATAAACATAATTTAATGTAAATTGTGATAATTGTAATTAATAATCGCAATTACAATTTCAAGGGAATAATCGACAATTATTCCCTTGATTTTTGTCATAATCGTGCAGCCCTAGTTCAAAGGCAAATGCAGCTCTCAGGCTTCTCCTGAAGCCTTCTTATAGCCCCTCAATATTTGAGCACACCAATACAGAGAGCAGATGAAGAGAGGATGAAATGACAATACTTGAAAGGCCCATCAAAGTAGCAGCATACTGTACACCATCTGTGCATCTGCGCCCTGGTGAGGTGCGCAATGGGAGGTCTAAGGTAAGTGTGAAGAACAAAAATTGCTTTCATCAGTGTAACATACACACCGTTTTGTCCACAAATGTTCTCCAATGGATTTGAACAAATCTGTTCACATCCATCACTGTCAATTAGCACACAATGAAGGAAATCACACAGGAGAGCTGCTGCACTTTTGTACGCTGTATTTCAATCTACCGCTTATTAACTAGCTACCCACAGTTCAGTTTAACCACATAATGACTGATCTGAGACACCAATTTACATACTCACAGTACAGTAAGCCATTTGTCATTGAGCACAAACACGCCTCTTTTAAATGTAAAGTCAGATCATTACTATAAAACGATGGCAAGAAAACGCATCTTTTTATCCTTGCGTTTTCAATTTAGTCTGATTCTCAAACAATTGACTCTAATGAACCAGTTCTTTTTAGTGAATCAGAAACATACAGCACAACCAGTGTAGTCTGATTCAAACACAAAACATTAGACATAGCTGGAGCTTATTGACTTTTGACAGACAACAATAAATATGACTGACACACACAGAGCGCTTCGCTGAATGACAGAAAGCTGACGCTGGCTCCGCCGCACGTGCTTTTATAGCTTCCCGTTCATGACGTCATCCGCCGTGACGTACCGCTCAGCTATTGGACTGATTTCACATGTGATTCAGAGCGTGGGTCACTGAAGGCGTTCCCCTAGTGTTCTCGACGCAGCTCGAGTTCCTGAAGAGGAACTATTCTTTTGATCAAGTCCTTAATCTCAAGACCAATCATTTAAAAACACTCAAACACAGGAGTTACAGTTCAGTCTTCACTGAACTCACTAAATATGTCAGAGAAGCTACTGAAACAATATTCAAGTTCTGTATAGTACAGTACGCTACTTAGCAATACTGGAAAATAGAGATTGCTTCAAAGCAGCTTCACAGTATAGTAACAAAATCAATGATGCAAACTTAAATTAGGCAAATCCAAAATACACAATTCATATCACTATTTGGCTCCAGTCAGTTCAGTGTTGGTTCAGTTCAGATCAAATAACTGTGTGAAGTTCATTCATCATAAAACGAATTCAAATTAGCAATAAGCAGCTCTACTGAAATCAAGTGTCATTATTCAGCTAAAGTCATTCAAAATTAATTTCAGCATCGACGTTGCAAAATTCATGAATCATGAACAAATTCAATTCAGCTAAAAAGCAGGTTTACATAAGACAATCATGTCATTATTTAGATGAAGTCAGTTCCATTTGTTATCAACACAACTTGAACTGAATATACTCAAATTAATCAAAATATATCAAAATCACAATCAATTTAATCAAAAGCTTCTGAACTAGAATCCTCCACAACCAAACTCTCAGAACATATTCGCATGATTGGGAATTGCAACATATTTTATGGACATGTCTATGCCGTTACCTGATTGGTGGAAGTGAATCAGCACCAAAACAACAAAAACCATGGCAGTAAATGAGCATTGAGCGGGAACAATTCATTTTAGTGAACTGTCCACCTCAGATTCTTAAACAGTTAATCTGAGCTAAGCCAAAAATTGGCAGACTTGAATTTCATGATTAAACTCAAGTGCTGTTCTGAATTCTGACCACACTCTTTCAAAACGACTGTCCTTCATTTTAGTTTAATGAAATGCAGAATCAAAAAAAAAGAAACGAACAATGTAGACCTACCATTAGGACTCTCCTCATCTATGGCTACAATGGTTGCGGGCGGGCCTGTTCTGGAGAGCTTGCACTCTGTAAAACAAGGACACAGAATGAATGGGAAAAAAGGAAGAGAACAAAGAGACATCAGAATTTCATCAAGTCTAGACCGCAGCGTAACTCATACTAAACAAGACATTTCAATTTCAGCTCACATTAAGTCATACAACCTGCACATAAAAATGGATCTATGCGTACTGTAACCTATCCACTACCGGGACCGGGGGACCACAAGTCAAAGAGAGATTTACAAAATGACTTCTTTATGTGTATAGAGATAGCTGTTACCACTGGGGTTGTGAAGGGTTAATAGAGTTGTGCTCTCATGCCCGATGAGAGAACAAAAGAGGAACAGAAAGATAAGATACATCGTCTTACCCTCATATTGCCAGTCTGGAGTCACGGATAGTGTCATCGGCAGAGAGCAGGAGAACGATGGAGTGACAGAGAGGTGGGGAGAGACAGAAGAAAAAAGAAGCACAGAATCAAATTTTCCACCGATGCTCGTAAGATAAATAACCAAAGAGAAAGAGACATATACATGGAGAAATTCAAAAGACAAGCAGTGTTACTAGCAAGTGGTGTTCACTCGAGTACATTTATTTTCTGGTGGTCCTCAAGATGATCATGATTTTGCAAAGTAGGAAATATTGCTGAAAGAAATCATGATTTTGCAAAGTAGGAAATGTTGCTGAAAGAACATTCCGGTCAAACTAATAAAGTTCTAGGTCTATCTTTAACCATTAACTACCATTAAAATCAAAGGGAAACGATCAATTACCCTAACTCAACCCTGAAAACTGACTGGTTGAAAGAAATGAGGACATTGCTTTAGGCTAAATTAAAGTAAGCAGACCACAAACAGTTTTTGATAACATTCCTGTCAAGAGTTCAGCTCATGAAAAATGGGGGCAAAAACAAAAGTGTTGCGTTTATAATTTTGTTCAGTGTAGAATCCTAAACCCACTCCTAACAATTAGCAACCCCTAAAATCAACATGGGCTCTGTGGAACAACGTTCCTCTACCCACATGTTTGCAAAAACTTATGTATACATATAATTAACTGCAGTTTCCAGCTGAAATAAACATTAAATAAGCAGTAAAATAACAACAACTTTTATTTTGCTTCACGCAAATTATGATTACAGTGCAGAATATAAATTAATAAAGACATATTTTCAAACATTTCAATCTCGATTCCCACTGGTTGTACACTCTTTTAATCCAATACCACCAAAAATGTTGATCCATGAATGTCCTACTTGGCAAAATCATGGTTACAAAGCAACTGGACATCAAAGTGTCCATGATTTTGCCAATTAAGAAAAAAATTACCCATATCTATATCTTTTTGTTTGTTTGCTTTGTTTGGTCCTGGTACAGCACTCCTGTCAAACAAACATATCCCTAAACAGTACATGCCTTCAAGTATAAATATTTGATGGATATTATGATCATTTTGAAATCCTAACCTCAGCCCTATCCCTCTCAATTCCAGTCCCAGTGACCCACCGCTCTGCATATTTTGCATGTCTCTCAAAATATAACACACTTTATTCAAATCACCAGCTCGTTATAAGAGAGCTCCATGCATTAACTGTGTTTCGATGGACACTGTCCCTACACAGTGTTCACTGCTCCCTACTCCCTGAGCACGGGAAATATGTTGAAGTTCACTTCACTTTGGAACATTCATTCACTGAACTGCGCTACTTTCCTGCCTGCAGCGTCTTCACACACAGACAAAACTCACAGACAATTGTAAAGTGTGACATAATATACAACTGTAAATAAATACAATTTCAATTCACGTCTTGCACGCTTTAATGCCCTTTGAATGGAACATATACAATCCCTTCAAACTGGAATCATGGCGGAATATCCTGTGAATATCCACTTCGCAGGGTCGAATAGAAGTGATAAGAGAAACTTACAAAATGTGCAAAGCGGGGGGGGTCGCGACAACTGGAATTGAGAACTGCTGTCCTAAACCTCACCCTAAACTTTGGTTGACGAAAGCCCCAACCATAATCTTAATCATTTCAGTCTACAAGCACAGGAAAATGATAACAATGTTCTTCAAACCCTGATGAAAATCAACTGGATGAAAATATACACCTATCCCAAACCCTAACCTTAACCGTTTACTCTAAATTCAAATGACAGTCAAACACAATCCAACTAATACTTGTTTTAGCTTTAACGTAGACCTGCATTTTGCGCTCTATTTTAGCCCAGCATTGCAGGAACTGACTATCTGCTCTCTTGATTTACACTGGCAAGCAATGAGACAGTGAACGCGCTGCAGTCCTTGAGTGACTGATTTGATTAACATGCTCCTTCATGGTACGCAAGACGAGATCTACGACTGCCAGTGGTTGCTGTTGTTAGTAGGAGGAATCCGGTATCAACCCACTGGATTTTCTCCGCCGGTCTCTCCTCTCTGCGTACCTTTATCCTGAAATGAATGGCAGTAGAATATAAATCATACAAAATCGACATCATGAATTCTGCAACACAGATCAGTGATTATGATCAAAATGGGCTTTCTTTGAGGGCGCTACACAAAGCGAGGACAAGTAGGAAATGAATTGTCCCGTTACGCAAAGGTTAATAGAGTGGGGGAACTATGACGTCAGAATCCGGAAGTGTAATTCGCCGTGGGTTCCTTCGAGATTTTCCTATGGGGTTTTTCAATTAAGGAGTAAAATAAAGCTTGCGGTAAACATAACTGCACACACTTCCAGCCCAAACGTTCTTATCTAGTTGCCTATTAAAAACATACGTTTTCAAAAATGAACATAAATCCTTCAAAATTTGTGTTTTGGGTATGGATGCGTGTAATTTGCATTGTAGAACAAAACGTAAAAGTATCGTCAAGTTATGCTTACCGCAAGCTTTATTTTACTCATTAATTGAAAAACCCCACAGGAAAATTTCGAAGGAACCCGCAGTGAATTACTCTTCCGGATTCTGACGTCATAGTTCCCCCACTCTATAGTTTAAAGAGCAAATGAAAGTCAAGTCTACAGTAAAAGTTCCCCGGATCGGTTTTCCGTGTTGCGATGACGACCGTTTGCATCTTTGCTTGTGTCTCCAAGGCACGTCTCTGGCCTGCCACTCATGAATTAGAGATTGATAGCATTTGTGTGGCTTTACGTAACATCAGAAGTGCTGACACATTAAACCAAGGCAAGTCGGGCTCTCTTAGCAACTGGGCCTATGATGGTGAGCAGGCTATCAAAGGAAAGACCAACTATCTTGTGTCGCCATTAAAGTTCCATGGCTGTGGGACCCCTTTTTATATTGAGCAAAGGAAAACCATGACTCAGGCATAGCCTTTGTTTATATGAAGATATTTTTTGTCTTAATTATTTGTTTAGATTTAGGGTTTGTTTTAAAATTTCAATTTAGTTTAGTTTTTTTGACATTTATATTTTTGTTTAACAAAGAAATGTGCAGCATTTTGTCCAAGCAATAATAAAAGGACACCTTTTCATTTATAATTTGTCTTTAAAATCGAATCGTGAATCGAATCGTGAGTTGAGTGAATCGTTACATCTCTAATGATAAATGATTTTTACAGATGTTATACTTTCTATTGAGCATTAGAAATACAGAACTATGGCAATGGGTGTTTTGTTTCCAACATGCACTGTATGCATTAGACCAATCACAACAGACTGGGGCATCTGACCAATCAGAGGAGGGTAGGCTCAGGGAAAGGAGGATTTGATAGAGAATGAATCTTAGAACTGCTTCGAATGAATAGTTTGAGAATCGATGGAAAATGAGGTGATAATAAATGCATATTTTGACCTTGCATGCATGTAAACCTATTGTAGGAGACTCCAAAAACAATATTAGGAACCTTAAAAATGGCATAATAGGGGCACTTTATCTACTTTAGTTGAAACTTAACGTACTAAAATAATAAAAATAAAATTAATAGAATCTACAAAAAATAAATGTCAAAAACAAAAGCATACAAAAATATAAAAATTTTAACTAAAATTTAAATGAAAATGGAAAATAAAAAAATAAAAACTATTTTAAAGGGGTCATATGATGTTGCTAAAAAGAACATTATTTTGTGTATTTGGTGTAATGAAATGTGTTTATGCGGTTTAAGGTTAAAAAAACACATTATTTGCCACATACTGTACATTATTGTTTCTCCTCTATGCCCCGCCTTTCTGAAACGTGTTGATTTTTACAAAGCTCATCGGTCTGAAAAGCGAAGTGTGCTCTGATTGGCCAGCTATCCAGTGCGTTGTGATTGGACGAATACCTCAAGCGTGTGACAGAAATGTTACGCCCCTTACCATACTGTGATGGAGCGACGAGACAAAAACATTAAAAAACCCATTATAAACGAGGCATTTGTTGCATCCAGTAGGGACATAATTATGGATTATAATGACTTTTTACGCATTGCGTTGCATTGCGCCGCGTAAACATAAAACCATGTCTGCATTTGTGATCGGAGAAATGACAAACAACAAGCGCTACTCTACACTGCTCAAAACTCGCGTTTGAATCGTCAGTGGCAAATTCTTTAAATATGAAAACGTACTTACAGACTGTCAGTCAGAACAGCCGGTATTGTAGTCTACTCTTCCAGGATCAGGAAACAGTCCTCCATAAAATGCACTGCACACATCTGAATATTTGGGTTGAACTGTTCTGGAACAGTGTTGTAAATACAACGTAACCACTGATTTCTAGTCGTGTCCTCTTTTGGAAGGCCAAACAAAGTATTTTCGCTTTCGCAACGAAATACACATCGTCACACACGGCGGGCTAGAGTGAGGAACGGCCGGCAGGCTTGAGAACAGCACGGCCGGCGGATTTGACGAAGGAGCGGTCGGCGGGCTTGCGGCAACCACATGTGACGACCCCGGACTGGACTCCGTTTCGGCCACGGTGAAAGCCTGAAAACCCTTCTGACTGCCTCGTTGTGCACAGAGTTTCTCCTGTCAGCACTGATTCATCTGGCTTTAAACTAGTTTAAATCACAGAGTCATTTGTGTTCTCTTCTGAATTCAAGCACTTCATACTGTTAACAGTGCTGTTTAGTAGTCGCGTGAACGAGACTTATCAGCGAGTAAACTCATCTGCTCTAGTAAGTTTGCGCTGCGCTGCTGTTTGAACTTTGAGCAGAGTGGATACATGATCTGTGTGGTGCGGTTCAAATGAGTAGTGCTGTTTCTTTCCGTTTTTGGCGCATAAACATTATATCGAACATTTATTGAACTCCTGTTATTGTAATTCACAAAGTGAGCGGTCTAGTTTAGTTATGCCGCACTACTTTGCTTCCTTGGGCTGCAAAAAAACTATATTTAAATGACATTTAAGTGGTTGTGTAATCAGATTATTTTACAAAATGTTT